AGTAGCGTAGTAATTATTTCTACGAAGGTCTCTTTTTTTTTTTTTTTTTTTTTTTTTTTTTTTTTTTTTTTTTTTTTTCTGTTTGGGTGCTTTTCTGTCAAATTGCATTTAAAGTCAACCTGCTGTTAGGCTATTAGCCTTTCAATTTTGCATCAACAAAGTATGTACTACACTTTCTTTTTTGCTAGACTGGTGTAGGTTACCCATTTCTGGAATGATAGTTCTGGAAACAGTCTCAGTTTCAAATCAACAGGCCATTACTAATTAGTGCAAGAAAAGATACATTCATATTTATATACGTTATTATCCTCTCCTGTCCACAATAAGTGATCAATTTATTTTGGGCACACCCATTAAGGAAATACTGAATTCTAGACGAACATAGTTAGTGTGACTAAACTATCCTTCATTAAATGTTGCACCATAGTTATAGTATCACTTACATTTCTTTTCAAATGTGAGGAGTAAATGACTTTTTAGGGATATGCACATAAGAGTAATTTTGAAAAAACAAATTGAATTTTTTCTTGATTATATAAATGGACACTTATTTTGGACCAAAATAAAAAAGCAAATTGGTCACTTATTGTGGACTGGAGCGAGTAGTATATATCTAGCGCATTCTTGTGACTTGTGTAGTGGGGATGAGATCAGTTCCAGTAACGTTTGGTCCAGTAAAGTTCAATACGTCACTTGATATTAGTCACGTGTCACTAAAGATATGAAGGGTGTGGATTCATTTTGTAGCATTACTCTTCAATAAAAGTTTTTTCTTTAATTTTATAGCCTAAGTGGAAAACCCCAGTTCTTCTTCTTCATAATTGTTCTGTACTGTTTAAGCTAAGTTCTTCCTGTTGTGATCATTGTCTGCTCTTCAACTTCTTCCTTTTATTTCTTCGTTTTTGCTCTAACAATTTCTCTCCATAATAAATTAAATTCAAAGTTTTTTCTACACTTGCAAAAGCTTTAAAAACAGAATTACTTATCAGGGATCTAAAATTTTCAAACAAAAATTTAATGTTTTTTGACCATCACAACAATATCAAGAACTGTTTTTGCTTTTTCAAATGATAATAAACCCAGCTCCCAAAGTCAAAGCTCTTGTCTCATGGGATAAATAATGTGAAGACGTTAACTCCTGGATATGAAGAAATTTGGTTTCACCTAATTTGATTCATCTCCAATAGGCAAGCCCAATGTTACAAATCCGAATGTTATATTCTTGGTTATGCGTTTTTATTTAAAATAGTAAAATTTAGTAGAGACTCAGTTAAAGAGGTCTTAAAACAAAATGATCCACACCCTTCACATCTTTAGTGACACATGGCTAATATCAAGTGTGATATTGAAATTTACTGGACCGTATCTCATCCCTGTGTAGTGTTACCTTTTTGTTTATCATTTACTGCGTAATAATTAAATCACATAAAAATTTGTAAAAGAAATGCCTCCATTAGTTCCAGCAGGCAGCAGTGACAAATGCCATGTCATTGCAGACAAAAACAGAAATAAGGATGCAACTGCTACCTTCTTGGTGACTTCTAAATTCCGCAAAAACCTTATCGCATTTAATTCATATTCATATACTACTAAACAATAAAAGCTTGGCATGTTTTGTTTTTCTAATAAAAATATCATTAATTAGGTATTATTAATGAATAATTTGAATATACATCTTAAACACAATTTGATTTTTAATCATGATAAATTTAAAATGGTTCAGCAAATTAATTAAGTTATTATAATTTGGCAGGACTACACCTCGTTGGTTGTGGATAAAATGAACCAGCAAAAGGAGTAAACAAAAGCTTTAAATGAGGTGCTCTTGCCACGTGGCTGCATCCTTCAGATACGTCTCTAGAGTTCTTACACGCATCCTTCTGCTCCGCTAAGGTCTATTTGAAGGAAAATCATGTACTCCACCAGTTAACTAATTCACTAAAATTAGGGATCGTAAATGAGCGAATTGGACTGAATATGGGCGAGTTAAGATAGATTAAGTCAATACAAAAAAAAAATTTGATGGGGTGGGTTTGCGTGAGCGAGGGGGTAGGGGTGAGTGGTGCAAGAAAAAAAACAGAAAATAATACAATTTTTTTTTGAGGGGGTTTGGGAGGGGAGGGGGGAGGGGCGGAGGGAGGAAATAAGGTGGGTGGGTGATGCAGAAAAACAAAAGAACGGAAATTGAAAATACAAAAAAATAAGAAGTAAAATTGGGGTAATTAAGTAAATTTCTAGATAAGTTGGGTTGAGATCTCTTTTTGTTTTGGGTGAGTTTCATGGGTTGTATTTGGGCTATTTAATGGGTCGGAATGAGCTATAAAAAATAATGGGTTAAATTGGGCTCAACTCAAAATTGACCCATAAGCTAAAATATTTGTATCCAAACCCATTAACTTCTGGGTCGGAAGCTGAATGAGTTTGGCTCAAATTGCCACCCCTAGTCTAAAATCACATGTGTTAGGAAATTTTTATTTTGTGCCTCACATAACTGATACTAATTATGTGACACCTCTTTTTTGTCTCATAATTATATGCGTCCCAAAATTTTGTGGAGCAAGATATATAAGATATGAGTCCACAAATATACCAAGATAAAAAGAGGGCACAAAATAAAATCAGTGTGGGTTATCCATATTCTTTGAATCCACCTACTTGTCCACTTAATTTGGTTTTGGGGAAGAACTGTAGTTAACTTCTTTTTCAATTGAGGGTTTAATTTCCAGCTCTGTAACTATCATCTGATCAAATTATGGCTACAACTAAGGTCTACGTTGTGTAAGTGAAACACAAACACACACACACACACACATTTGCAGTAGCGTCTGCCTTCTCTATGTTTATTGTTTGTTAAGTTGGATGATATTTGATTCAGGTATTACTCTCTTTATGGCCATGTGGAGACTATGGCGCGAGAAATACAACGCGGAGTCAATTCTGTTCAGGGTGTCGAAGCAACTCTTTGGCAGGTTAACTCTACAGCTCAGCCTTGGGAACATATTCTTCAAGTTTCTTCTTTAGCTTAAGCTCCCGTTTGGCCCTAAATTTTGTTTACTCCAATTAAAGATTTAAAGTATTTGTTTATGGAATAAGGTCAGCTTTTGAAAAAAATTTAAAAAAAGTTTTCATGTTCCCAAAAATTGGTTTAGAGCTGTTCTTGGGTGAAATTTCAATTTCAACTTTTCAAAATTATTTTTCTAACACAACTTCAAAAATTATTTTTTCAAGTTCCAACCAAATCCATGTCTAAACACTAGCTAAGTAGTTTCAGTTTAATAGTGAGATTTAAGTTATATACATTAACCGTGACATTTCATAAGTTATATCCATTGTAATTTTTTTAATTATCAGTAACGTTTATGCTTTATAGCAGGATATTTACCTTATTTTTTCAAGGTTATTAATCGATGTCTATTATAGTCAATTATGTGTAATTGCTCAGTCATTAGCCTCGTGTAGTGAAGGTCGTTCAATTGAATCCCCCTTAATCAAAAATTTATAGTGTGCAAGTAGGATAAAAAATAAAGATTTTCTTTTGTGAGTATATACATTTTTTTGAACCCCTTCATATTAGAGAATCTTTTATTGTAGTGACAAAGCTGATTCAAAAATTGCATTAGGTTGCTTGTTTGAATTCCCGTGTGCTATTCTTGCATTTTTTTCCTGATCTCCTTGTTAGAATTTTTTGCCTCCAACGCAGCGATTGGATTATAATTAAGTGCATAAAATTTTAAATTCTATTTATTACTAGTTCCATGAATTTGATTGGTAGATGCATGTAGGTTCCCGAGACACTTCCTGAGCGGATATTGGAGAAGATGAAGGCTCCTAAAAAACCTGATGATGTGCCTGAGATCAGGCCTGAACAGCTCTTGGACGCTGATGGTTTCATTTTTGGTTTCCCTTCTCGTTTCGGTGTGATGGCAGCTCAATTCAAAGCATTTTTTGATGCTTCCAGTGAGATATGGGCCGCTCAAGCATTAGCTGGTAAACCAGCTGGAATCTTTTGGAGTACTGGTTTCCATGGAGGTGGTCAAGAGCTTAGTGCGTGAGTACTTCATCATCTAGTCTCTGCCTTTTAATCTGTGCTCTAGATTCACTGACATCTGTATAGATTCTTGAATTGCATACTATTGACAGGTTACACTCTGGTAAGGGTGGTCAATTGATCACCCTTCGTCGGAAAATTACACTACGTATATAGGTAAAATATTAGGTTTTAGAGATTTTTTTTTTACTTCTTTCAAGTTTGAACACCGTCAGGGAAATTCCACTATTGAGTTTAAGGACTACTATCCTGCTAGATTTAGACGGTGTAGAGTACGAGGGACGGACAAATTTTGAATTTCCCTTCGTGCTTCAACTCGGTATATTTGTGAAAGCTTACAACATTGCTAGATGAATTAGTGGAAAATCTAGAATCTTCCGTTCTGTCAGTAGCGGTATAATTGGTCGGTGGTTTACCGTGGCCCCGATATTGCAAAATATGGATATTCTCCTCTTCATTTCCGCATGTCACATGTAAGGGCATTGAATCCTAGAATTGTGTTCACTAACCGTAGTGAGAAAAGTTCATAGCTCTGCTGTGAGTTCTTTCTGCATAATTTCCAATTTCCAGAGTCTTAAATCTGAATCTAAATGCTAGTAGCTCTATGCTCACCTTTGCTTCTATTCTGTAAGGCCAATTTGCTTTAGCTACCATTTTTGTCCTTTTCTTTCATTTGGAAGGGCAAAAGATCATCACAGCCTTATTCAATTTGATGAGGATATTGCATAAGAACTAAGTTAAGGCCCCTAGCGAGAAGGATAATTATGACGGAACATCTTTTAACGGATATAAGAAATCAACCTCTTGAGATTTCCAGAAGAGAAAACAGACTTCAACCAAAATTGAAAGTTGGTTTTGGGATCTTGTTATTTGTAGAGTGATCAAGTGCTCCCAGAAAGAGACATGCAATGTTCTTCTCTCAAGATAAAACCAGAGGTTTCAATTTAGAGTTTGGGTTGATAAACTCGAATAGGCTGCTGATATCTGCAGCAATATACGTAGCTAGGGGATATATAGCAGATACATGATGGGTTGTTAAATCATTTGGAGAATATAACTAATGTGTTGTGATGTTTGCTTTGGATACTCCTTTCTTCTCTTTTTCGTGACTGATTATATATCCGACAGCTCTTTCATTGACACGAGCGCTTGTTGCTTGCAGACTAACAGCCATTACTCAGTTGGCACATCACGGCATGATATTTGTTCCTCTTGGATATACTTTTGGTAAAGCAATGTTTGAGATGGATGAGGTAAAAGGTGGATCATGCTATGGAGCTGGAACGTATGCTGCAGATGGATCTCGTCAGCCGACTGGACTGGAATACCAACAGGCCTTTCATCAGGGAAAATATATTGCTGAAATTACAAAAAGACTCAGTGATTAGTCACAGAACCAAAGAGCAAAAAGAGAAATAAAACACAATTGAGCAATCTATGACTGAAATGGAAAGAGTCCAGTAAGCTAGACTGTATGCAAGTGTACATGATTGTAAAAGCCTTTAAAGCTGTAGAGAAAAGGTTGAATGTACCATCAGTTATCGTCTTGCTTTGCTTATATTCTGTTATTGATTCTCTTATCGTTGAAATATTAATTGAGCAGCAAGGCTTTATAGCACTAAAACAATGGTTTTCCCATGTGGAAACAATATTGTTATTTCTTAGGAGTATATACAATTACAGGAAAGGGTTTCTTGTTCAAAGAAGGAAAAAGGAGGCGACTGCTATTAGTCTGCTAAAGTATGTAGTGTTTACTCTTTAAGTCAACACAGCGCAAACATAAGGTCCACACAATTCTTAATAGAATATTATGCTACAATTACCAATAACCTCAGTTATTGACATTCAAATTTGCTTAATTACCTTTAAATTATACTCCATGTTTTTTTTTCTAGTTAATAATTTGTTATAAAGTTTATCACTTATATGTGAAGAAAAAAGAGTGGTCATAAGAAAAGAGGAAATGGTTCAACACTTCAACTCAACAAAACAAAAATACCTAATTTCCATATTAACGAGGAACAAATAGATACCTAAACTTTTCCATTTTAGGAGCCAAAAGAAGTGACGAAGAAGTTATGGCGACTCCGTACAACAAAACCAAAATACCTTATTTTTTCCATATTAACGAGGAACAAATAGATACGTAAAATTTTACATTTTAGGAGCCAAAAGAAATGACGAAGAAGTTATGACGACTCCGTACACCCAAGTCCCTCCCGTTCCACGTCACCAACACTTTCCAAAAAACGAGCCCAGTTCTATAACTGTCACCGACGACCGTTACTTCGCAATAACCTACTGGTCTTACTCATCGATAAATGTAACAGCATCAAGCAGCTCAAACAAATCCATGTCTGCTTGCTCCCTACTGGGCTCTTCTTCGACCCATACTCAGCTAGCAAACTCATCGAAGTCTCTGCTTTATAGCATTTCTCATGTCTCGATTATGCCCAGAAAGTGTTTGGTCAAATTTCTCAACCAAATCTCTTCTCTCGGAATGTGCTTATTCGTGCCTATTCTTCTAGCCAGGACCCCATTCAATGTCTCTTGATATTTGTTAATATGCTTTGTGAGGGTCGTGAGCTTCCCAGTAAATTTACTTGCCCATTTGTGATCAAAGCATCTGCCAAGATGAAAGCTTTTCGATTCGGGAAAGGGCTTCATGGAATGGTAGTTAAGGGGATATTTGGTCTTGATATCTTTGCTCTTAATTCATTGATTCATTTTTTTTCTGATTGTGATGTTTAGATGCAGCATACATAGTTTTTGAGAATATGCAGACAGGGGATGTTGTTTCTTGGAATACAATGATATTGGGTTTTGCTGAAGGGGGTTATGAAGATGAGGCGTTGAAGTCGTTCATAGGATTGACGAGGAGAATGTGAAACCTAACGATATGACAATGATGGCACTTTTGTCTGCTTGTGGTAATAAGTTGGATTTGGAGTTTGGTAGATGGGTGCACGCATTTATCGAGAGGAATGGAATTAGGGAGAGCTTAATTTTAAATAATGTGATTCTTGATATGTATATGCAGTGTGGGAGCATTGAGGTTGCAGATTGGACAACCATGCTTGTTGGATATGCTAGGGCGGGACATTTTGATGCAGCGAGAAGGGTATTGAATACCATGCCTAGCCCAGATATTGCTGCTTGGAATGCTCTAATCTCAGCTTATGAGTAGAGTGGTAAACGAGAGGAGGCTTTGGCTGTTTTCAACGAGTTGCAGCTCATCGAGAAGGCAAAACCTGATGAGGTAACACTTGTTTGTACTCTGTCTCAGTTGGGTGCAGTTGATTTAGGTAGGTGGATTTATGTGTATATAAAGAAGCCAGAGATAAAAAATAATCACCTTATTACTGCATTGATCGACATGTATTCCAAGTGTGGGGATGTAGAGAAAGTACTTGAGATATTCCATTCAGTCAACAAAAGAGATATCTTTGTATGGAGTTATGTTGCTCGGACTCTCCGAAAATATCCTCGGGTGTATATCAGATCCTCCAAAAGTAGTGTATTTTTGGAGGATCCGACACGGGTACGGCAGTATTTTGGAGAGTCCGCGTAACATAGGTATGGAGTGCTACGATTGCTGGCTTGGCAATGCATGGGCGTGGCAAGGAAGCAATAAGTTTGTTCTTGAAAATGCAAGAACATAATGTCAAGCCTAATTCTGTAACACTCACAAATGTATCATGTGCTTGCAGCCAGTCAGGGTTGGTGGAGGAGGGGCGGGCAATTTTTAACCAAATGGAAACCATTTACGGGATTGTACCTTGGGTAAAGAATTACACTTGCTTAGTTGATATACTTGGCCGTGCTGGTGAATTGGAAGAAGCTGTGGAGATGATAAATAATATGCCAGTAACCCCTGGTCCATCAGTCTGGGGTGCTCTGTTTGGGGCATGTAGATTACACGGGAATCTTGAACTAGTTGAACATGCTTGTAATCAATTAGTTGAGTTGGAACACAGAAAATCATGGTGCCTACGTACTACTATCCAATATTTATGTGAATTCAGGGAAATGGCACAAGGTTTCTATGTTAAGGACGGTTATGAGGGAATGTGGATTGAAGAAGAACCAGGTTGTAGCTCAATTGAGGTCAATGGTATTGTTCATGAGTTTCTAGTGGGAGATAATGCTCACCCTCTGTTGCAAAAAAATCTATGCAAATTTGGATGAGATTGCAGCTAGACTGAAGTCTGTAGGTTACGTTTACAACTAGTCCCAAGTAATGCAACTTATTCAAGAAGAAGAAGATATGCAGGAGCAAGCCCTAAATCTTCACAGTGAGAGGCTAGCTATGGCATTTGGACTTATCGGTGCGACTCCATCTCAACCAATTCGTATCGTGAAGAATCTACGTGTTTGTGGGGACTACCACGCTGTTGCCAAGATTCTCTCCAAGCTTTATGATCGAGAAATACTATTGAGGGATCGCTACCGATTCCATCATTTTTAAGAGGGGAATTGCTCATGTAAGGACTACTGGTGAGTGTTAGAATTGACTGCATAGTGAACTGTAGAGAGACCTGTCGTTCATTTTTTTATATATTGCCTCCCTATGGAACTAATAGCTCAGGTAAGATGTTCAGATGATTGGGGATGTGTTGTTAATTTAGCATGTAGATGAAATTGATGCAGACTGGAGACACCAATTTAGTAACTGTATAAATAGCAATCAAGGTTATTTCATACGGTTAGTCTACCTCAAACCTTCAAACATTGGATGATTATTAACTTGCCTTAGTAACATAACATTCACATCGATGCAAAGTGAGACAAGAATGAAAAGTACCAATGAAGGTAAGGTAGCATAGGTCAAACTGTACTTTTTTCCTGGGCAGATCTCTCTTCCAGTTACAAGTTGCAAGAGTAGTCTCAATGATACTTTACTTGAAAGGAACTTTTGTCATAAATGTTACGTCAGATATGGTCAAACTTATACTATCTATTAATTCAAGCAGAAATAACATAACCAAGAATGCCGAATCTGGCAATAGGAGCTTTCAGAAGTAACCAACTGATTAGTAACTTAAGGAGTGATTACAATTAGGCAGTTAATGTGCAGACGGATAACAGATGTGGACATCAGAGAAATAGATAAGAAATTTCAAGAATTATTAGGTGGGGAGTATGATACCAGTGTAGTTGTGTACATGAATAATGAGATGCTTCTAACTCTATTACTCTATTCTGCTTAAAATCAATGAGGGAGAATTTGGCAGCTTGAGACAGGCACAACTTCTGCAAGCTCATTTTCTATATTGGTCTATGGTTCCACAGAACCTGCAAATAAAATAATGTGCTTGCATTTTAGTTCTCTGAGGATGACTATTTGAATCTAAATTATCAGACATGAAAAACATGAATACACAAATGCCACTGAATATGCAAACTGGTTCCTGTTAGTAAGTATATATGTATGTGATTTGGCTATTTTCCTTTGTGAGCATCCACTGAATATTGAATAATTCCTTTTGATGGTTAACTAAATTTAGAATTATGTAATGGAAAGGAGATAGAGGAAATTGTATTTATGCACCTTTTTTTGCATCAGTCTCACTCAGAGGAGTTTCTGATGTTGGAGATGGTGGTGAAGTGCTAACAGATTCCCTGGCATCAATCAACATCGAGATCACTTCTCGCATTGTAGGCCTATTGGCAGGGGATGTATTGGTACAGAAAAGAGCAATCCTGAGAACTAACGACATCTCCTCACTTGTTCTTTCCACACTAAGATCCAGTCTTTTGTCATAAATCTCAGATATTGCCACTCCTTCTTGAATTGATCTCCTCACCCAAGTCACCAAATCACCTCCTTGATCAAGGGGTTGAACTGGAGACCTACCAGTAACCAATTCCAGCAAAACAACCCCAAAACTATAGATGTCACATTTCTCTGTCACTTTCATTGTGTATGCATATTCTGAAAAAAAATAATCAAGAAACTAGTCAACTTCTCTACCTATGGACTGCTGAATAAAGAGTATCATTAAGTGACTAAAAACCAGTCTTACCGGGGGCAATATAGCCGTATGAACCAGCAACCGCAGACATGGATTTTGAGTAAGGAAAGTCAATTAGCTTTGCCAAGCCAAAGTCTCCAACATGTGCCTCCAGCAGTTCATCCAACAAAATATTGTTCGACTTTATATCCCTGTGAATGATATGTGGCTTACAGTCATGGTGCAGATAGCTTAAACCCTCAGCAGCTCCTAGTGCAATTTTGTACCTGGTATTCCAATTTAGCAAGCTAGTAGTCTTATTCCCGTGAAGTACTTCGCCAAGGCTTCCGTTTACCATGTACTCATATAAGAGAAGATTGCAATCTTGGTGGTAGCAGAAACCAAATAGCTTTACAATATTTCTGTGATTTATTTTTCCAAGAGTAGATAATTCAGCGTGGAAGCTGCTATCAACGCTTTCCCCTTCTCCTCGGGACTTCAACTTTTTAACTGCAACAAATTCACCATCAGCCATAGTAGCTTTGTAGACAGTGCCACAAGCTCCCTTTCCTATGATTGCACTGTCTGAGAAATTCCCAGTCGCTTCAACAAGGTCCTGAT